ATCGTGTTTCTATCACTATATCAACAATAATTATTCCCAGTCTCACTCTATATCCTTAACAAAAGTGAGACAAAAGGAGAAATGTAAATCGACAGACCACTGCCTCTCTCTCTTAAACCAGTCTCTAATATGTGTACTTTTTCCTTGCAAATCATTTGAAATCAAATGGATTCCTAAATGTGGTTTGTCGGCGTACTGCAAAAACAAATACACTTCCAAGACAAAAAACGATCACCCTGCTGTCGCTGCAGGGATCGAATTCTGTGCCGTCGTGCCCTCTTTCTTACCTGGCCAAGAACAGCGTTGGAGTCTTGATCTTTCAAAATGGATGCACACATCTTTACCCTCTCCTTAACGTGCCACGACTCCTCGTCCCAACCTTCGAACCTCCGCAGATCCAAATCGCCGCCGTCCCACTCCTCCAGGAACCGCAGCCTGTACACTGCGCAGGCGTTGGAGCCCTGAGGTTGGCAAGGCACCGGAGGGTACCTCCACTTGAACCTGCCGAAGTCGATTGTCGTGCCGCCGCCGCCGCCGCCGCCTTGTCGCAGCAGCATGGAATTGATGTACGTGGTTACAAGCTTCGAGATTCTCTTGGGCACACCACCCATTTCTTTGAAGGATCTTCTCTTGCTGGGCCCGCCGCTGTCCAGGTATTCAAAGCAAGCTTCCTTGATGTTGATAACGATTGCTGTGGCATGCCCATCGTATGATACGGGGATGCACCACTGCAAATTATTTTAACAATATGGGTCAGACTGCTGTACTTTTAGAGAATAACAATGCTATAACTACATCGCATTGTCGTTTTTTTTTACGGCGAACCACGAAGTGTTTTCATATATTGAAAATTTTCTATAATAGATAATTCACTTATCTTACGACTCACATATTTTTCAAAGAACGTATCTAGAAAATCATTCATAAATTGATTCACACTCGATTCAAAGATCATTCTTGATGAATTTTACACCGAAAATGTCCTCTCAACAATAGGAAGAGTTCGCAATAAAGTTGGAAATTATAATTTACGAATTAAGAGAATTAATTTGACTCCTTAGATATTTGCTTTGTATTCTTATAACAACAACTGAATGCTGGTATAAGGAAAATTCTGACTTGTAAGGGTTGTCAAATTGGCCCGAATTCAAATTCTACCAACAACAATATATATTTTCACACACTAATTTGGTCCATTTTATTAGTTAAGCTTTGTCAAATGACAAGCCTAAACAAAGCATGGGTCCGCCCCTGGTATCTACGCCGTAAATTAAATAAGTACTTTCCAACATTTTACGAATATATGAAAATTATTATATGTTCCAAATTAGATGAATTACATACAAACCTTAACCTTGTTACAAAATCCTAATTAATACTTACAAGGTCACACTTGGTGGCATCAATCTTCCTCTCTGCTAGGTAGTAGACGCTTGACAAATGCTGATCACATAGTTCAACCAAGTAATCATCAGCTTTCTTATCACTATCAGCTTCTCCACTCACAAGACCCTGCAATATTCATGCGTACATATCGACAAAATATAATCAAACACTCAATCATCATCAATGGCCAACGTAGCTAAAATGAATGATAAACAAACTAGTCTCAATTACTCGAATTGTTGGAGAGAATGTTAATTATGAATCTTATATCACTCTCTTACACGCCTCCTCAATCGAAAGCCAAGTTACGGTCTTGAAGTTTGCATAGACTAACCATATCTTGTACATTAATCATTTGTTAATAACTGGGACATGAGAACTTGAACACACACCATCAAACCAGCTATCATACCATGCCATAAGCCAATCAATCACGATAACAAGAATTTTTAGAGAAGGTTAATTATGAATTTTTATATCACTCTTTTACAACTGATTGTTCTAGTACTTTAGGGTTTTACCGCAAAGGTGGTCCGAAAGATGAACTTTTTTAAGTGCCCATCGTCAGCCATTAGCGAGCTCTTGTTTATACGATCGAAGCAGAGGTCAGACATCGAGGTCGGCACTCCAGATGTCCCCACAAGTTCTATAAAGTCCTTGCGCTTCCAGTTTCTACTGCACCTAGCATCTTGAAACAAAACCTCCTTCCTATTTTATAATGCGACGCAGTAAATGACACAGCGATTTACGTCACAAATTCTGCCATTCAGTACCCCTTTAATTATATGTGCATATGTAAACTTGAAAATAGCGAGAAATTCCGTTCGAAACCTTACATTGAGAGCTTGGAATCCAACGCATATTCCATTATCTCATCAAGCTCTGTTTTCGGCTCTGCGGTACGGGCGGCGGAAAACTGGCAGCTGATGCGGAGTCCCATTGGCGTTCATGCAGAAGTATTGCATGCGACGAGAAAGAATGGAAGATGAGGCGAAAGTTCGTCGACGAGAATTGGCGTCGCCGGCCTCCGGAAGGCTAGAAGGCGAGGTTAGAAGAAATAACGAGGGAATTGGGCTGTAGAGTTCAGGTATTACTTAAAAAGTTGGTGTTAGTTTCCTAGTTCATCTAGGAAGCAAATTGTTGGTCTACATTTATGATGGAAGCTTGGTTCGTCCTAGTAAGTAGTAATTGAGGCTATCTCTATACGTACGAAGACATGTTGGTAAGTGATGGGATAATTAGTGTTTAGGTTTTAGTACGTAGCTTGCATGGGCAGAGTGGGAGTCTTCTTCCATTGCGTGTCGAGTTGGCTGGGGCGAGTTAATGGGTTTCGGCTCTAGCTAGTTTTACGTATTAGGTTTTTCAAAACTATATAAATGTGATTTTGGCACTAGTACAATCAATCAAATAAAAAAATAAAATAGGTTTTCGACACTTTATGTCATGTTTCTTTTGAAATTATGATACGCCAGAGCAAAATGTTAACAAACTAAATAGGTTTTCGACACTTTATGTCAATGAGAGGGTACTCGTTCATAGGTTTAAGAGACTTCTACAAGAACATACAGTGAGGATTAATTGTTCCCATTGGGAGCAAACACACTTTGTTTCGCCAGCTGGTTTTTTTTCTCAACTAGTGAGAACCAAGTACCTAGCTTTCGGAATCTAGAACAAAATTTTAGGATGACTCATATTGTGAGAGACCAAATAAGACAACAAGTGAAGTCTTTAAAGAATAATGAAAAAAAACAGGCTAGTATTCTTTCTTGCCTTGATAATGCCACACTCCCAAAACAATGTCTCATTGACAATGGAGAGCAAATGAAATAGAAACCCAACAAAAACCCACCAAAAAAATTAAAAAACCTTATCCTACTTTCTCCAATAATCATTATAATACCTCTTTGCTATTATCATGATTCAAAAATATGCCCTTAATAGAGGTGGCAAATGGATTGGATTGGTGGATTGGTGGATTGGATTGGTGGATCCATGGATCAAATGGATTGGATCAAATGGATTGGTGGATTCATGGATTGGATCAAGTGGATTGGTGGATTATCCATGAATCCAAATGACATCCTCAACCAAGGACCAATATGTAAAATATAAAAAGTTTAGGTACTAAAATGTCACAATGAAAAATTTTAGGTACCAAAACGTAATTTTCCAATGATATTTTCGTATAAAAAATTAAATTTTAGGTACCAAAATGTAAAAAATAAAAATTATAGGTACTAAACCGTAATTTGCCAATGATCCATGGATCCAATCCATGAATCCACCAATCCAATTGGATTTGGATCAAATGGATTGGATTTAAATGGATTGGATTAGGTGAATATTTTTAATGGATTGATGGATTGGATTGGTGGATTGGATTGAAATTGCCACCTCTAGCCCTTAATCTTATTCCCAGGTACGTCTAGATGTAATTAACACAATACCATAATGTCTCGCCTAGAGATTTCACAACGAATTAGATATCAGAAACATATTAACGGAGTAAGAAGACACCAAGGTATCCCCTAGTCATAATTACATTGAGGTAGACAGTCAATATCAAAGGTGAAAATGTTTTGAGTTATAGTTTGTGTCACATCATGCAAGCAATGCATGTATTTTTTGCGAATAAAAAAAATTGTTGTATAGTTAACAATACAAGCATTTTAACAATCTCAACTAGGGATGTCAATTTGAACCCGGTTAGCCGGGTATTACCCGACCTGCAGTAACATGGGGCAGGGCGTGGGTATCTACTTCCAACCAGCAGTAGCGTTGAGCGAGGCGTGGGTATCTACTTACGACCCGCACTGCCCTGCACCGTCCCTTTCTTGGCTCATTCTAACTCAATTGCTCACCATATTCATTCATATTTCTCCTATTTTGAATTTTCTTCAATTAGTTAGACTTGATCTTTCAACTAGTTAGACTCAATTATCGATTTTATCATCACTATTTTCATTTATAAAGTGTTTTTCCTTCGTTTTATCGTAAAAAATAAAATTTTGTGTTTTTTTTTCAAATAACATGTGAGAGTGGGTTGACACACCCTGCCCTATACCCGCATGGTAATACCCGTCCCGGCCCGTAGTAGCATGGGACGGGACATGGATATTGAGGTACCCACCCCCGCCCCGCCCCCTTTGTGAGCTATTAAACTATGATTCTATGATGTTGTGAGCTAATTTTCTTATCGTTAAGTAAGTTATTATTGAACTTAAATATAAAAGTATTGCAAACTATTATTTCATTCATCAGCAAATTGACATTTTTTCTTCTAATGTCTACACATGCTTAAACAACATCTAAACAATCTAAGCTACTAGGCGAGACACCAACACTCGCCTTACACCTGTATCATCTCATTGAACCTTCCCTATTATATATCTCTCCAACCCAACCAAAAGAATTGCCGCCCGAAGGACGGCTTCCCTTATGCATTAGCTTCACAACTTCTCACCAACTGGACATGATCTCCACTATCCTCCTTTCTTTCCCTCTAAACATCACATCTTAATGCTCTCGAAATCTCAAATCACTGCTTACTATGCCACTGTCCTAGAAATAACCACCGGTGAACCGGCGACCAATCATCAACCACCATCATCATAATGGGTTGCATTCAATCCGTCAAGCGGCGGAAGTTAACGCCGACGTGGGGGCCGTCCAAGTTGAAGGCGGAGAATGGGCATAACGGCAGTAGTAGTAAGAAGAAAGGTGGCAGCCATTATCAAAGTCATGATCAAGTGAAGCCTTTGGAGGAGATTATTAATGATGGCGACAAGAAGGAAACTAATGGTCGGCCCAACGCCGCCGTGGTGGTCGGAAAGGACGGCCGCGGTGGAGGAAGCAAGTCTCATAGGGTTGTGTTGAAGAAGATCGGAGGGGAGGAATATTATGTTGATGGATGGCCAAAGTGGCTTGTGGACAATATCCCAAAAGATGTGTTGGCCAGTTTGGTCCCCAAAAGTGCTGAATCTTATGATAAGCTTGCCAAGGTAGTGTGTTCTTTAAGTTACTTTTTTTGTTTTTGTTTTGGTAACTCGAATGGTTATGAGAAATTTTAAAATGGATTTTACATTGTTTCTTAATTAACATGTCTCCTCAAACAAAACCCAACAAATTAATGGGGTTTAAACTTTGCACAATCCACCTCGTGCTAAATCAACTTGAGTGTCGTGGAGATATGAGCACATCTTATAGTCATATTACATGTTCTGATATCATGTTACAAACCTCGTGTTTAAATCAATAGAGGGTCCCGGAAAATTTGAACCCAAGATCTTATGATCATTACATGCTCCGATATCATGTTACAAACCATTTGGTTCCAATAATTGAGTCAGACAATGATATAAAATTTATTTTAAAAATTTCACCCAACAACTAAATTACGAGATTAGATAGTTTGTAACATGATATCAAAGCTAAATATAAGTGAATGGTTGTGTGGTTGAATCTTCGCAACCGTCAACACAAACAGTTGATTCAACACAGAATGTATGGTGGAACTGGTACAAACTTTCAAATTATTTTTTTAGTAGTAGTAAATCGGTTTGGAAAGGTTGCATTTGATTCTCTAATTTGATTTACCTGCTTGAAGTAATTATTTTTCGGTGCTTGTATGTATGTTCTCTTACAATTTGACCCCTAAAGGTTTTGTATCCCTCCCAATTGCGGTTTGTTGCCTGCAGATTGGTCACGGGACCTATAGCAACGTCTACAAAGCTCGAGACAGGGACACCGGCAAGATCGTCGCCCTCAAGAAAGTCAGGTTCGACACGTCGGAGCCAGAGAGCATCAAGTTCATGGCCAGAGAGATCACGGTGCTTCAGAAACTGGACCATCTAAACATCATCAAGCTCGAAGGAATCGCGACTTCGAGGATGCAATACAGTCTGTACCTCGTCTTCGACTACATGTTGTCTGATCTCACTAGGATCATCGCCCGCCCTGATCAACGACTCACCGAGCCACAGGTTTCTCTCTCTCTCGTCTTTCGTCGAGGCCTTAGTTTGCACAGGTGGGACATACCATTCCTTATGCTAAAGGAATTGGCATGAAATGGGGTAGTTACGAGGATTCGAAACCATGACCTTTCGGTTCTAGGCTCTGATACCATGTTAGCGAACTAACCACTTGGTCCCAATAACTCGAGTTGTTGGGAAATGGATAGTTAAATCTCTTAACCTCTAATATAGGTGAAGTGCTACATGAACCAGCTGCTTCTGGGGCTGCAGCACTGCCACGAAAGGGGGATTCTGCACAGAGACATCAAGGGATCCAACTTGTTGATAGACAGAGATGGGACGCTGAAGATTGCTGATTTTGGGCTGGCAAATTTCTTCGTTCCTAAACCTAAGAGGCCGCTCACTACGAGGGTTGTTACTCTGTGGTACAGAGCTCCGGAGCTGCTGTTGGGAGCAACGGATTATGGCGTTGGGATTGATCTGTGGAGCGTTGGTTGCTTGCTGGCTGAGATGTTCGTCGGTAGGCCCATTATGCCTGGCAGGACTGAGGTAAGAAAACTAAACTTCGTGGGCTTTGATTCTGGGCCAGAAAGGACATGGGCCCAAATTAGTTACCCACTTAATAAATGAGAATGGTTAATCCACAGAATATAATATGGTCCGGTTTTTCAATTGAATGAATGCAATGAAATTAAGAAGGAAAAAAAAAACACGTCCTAAATTCTAAAAATTGAATCATACAATTGTGTTTGGTTCAACCTAATATTTATCATCTTTGTGATTGTTACTCGTGTCAAATAGTAGTTGAGATAGAAGTAATCTAATAAATATTAAAATATGAAGGTCCCAGGTTCGAATCCCTTCAGTAGTACCAAATAACAAAAAAGTAACTTATATCACCCTTATTTAAAATATGGGTTCAAATAAGACTAAACTAGTAATTATAAAGAAGAGAAAATGTTTTATTTTCTCCCTCAATTCTACCATATAACTTTGGTCAGAGTACCAGTTGGGTGTGTAGGTGATTCTAATTATTGGCCTTGGGTACTTCCTCAGGTTGAGCAAATCCACAGGATATTCAAGCTGTGTGGGTCGCCGGCAGAGGATTACTGGAAGATCATGAGGCTTCCGACGAGCTTCCGGCCGCCGCAGCACTACAAACCGACCATCAAAGAAGCCTTCAAGGACCTCCCACCTTCCTCCATCACCCTCCTCTCCACTCTTCTCTCTCTCAATCCTTCCTATCGTGGCACTGCCACCTCTGCCCTCCAAAGCCAGGTCACATTTAATCTGATTCGGTCTGGTCCAAATTTCAATTAAATCTGGGTTTTCTGCCAAGATTTGAATCATATTCGATCCAAGTATCGATTTCGTCTGCTCAATTACCCTGCGAGAGCGGATTATTATCCCCCATAACTACATGTATAGCTACATTGCTGCATATATGCTGGTATGAATTGCTAATGCAGATAACTATAAAAAAAAATGCAGTTCTTCACTACAAATCCATTGGCATGCGAGCTCTCTGGTCTACCAGTCATCCAGAAGCCAGAGGATGAAGCAGCAAAGTCCAATACTCGCAAGAAGTAAGGCCTTTTTACTGTTGTTTCCGTCTCGTGATTCGATCATGTACTTAGGCTTCCATTGCTTTTCAAAATCCACCGTTTTTCACTAGGTGTGTATTTACTAGCTACATGTGGTTAACAGGCGCAAGAAACCAAAGAAGCAAGCCGCCACCCAACAAGCTAGTGAAGGTAGCAAGAAGCAAACTGGTTTCCAGGCAAAAGACGACTTGGATCCATCTCCCAAAGAGGTAAAATTCGAAAGACCAAAAAATTTACCCAAAAAACGTGGGAAACAAGTAACCGACGATTCATGATTCTGTGGTTTGTAGCAGCTGGAGAAGATCTCAGAGGAAGAAAGCACAACAAACAGCCAAGACACAGCTACAACAATAAGCATATTCAGCCAGGAAGCAGGAGGGAACAGCACCAGCAGTAGCACTTCTTCCAGCATGAAACCAGTGAGAGAGGAAGAACAACAGCAGCAGCAGCAGCCGCCAACGATGAACAAGCTCGCCGGACGCGTCCACCCTTCTTTTTCTCCGGTGGGGCTACCACAGCTTCAGGACCGGTCAGCACTACGAACCGAGGCGCACCCCAGTGCCTCCAAGAACATCCAGAACAACTTCACCCTTCTCCAGCCCTCCGTCTCCTCTGACATCCTCCACCACTGCCATGGCGGTAGCGGAGGACACCGTGCAGCCGCGGATGGCCTGGGGATGCAGCACTATCGCCGGTCGACCCTCGACTTCTCTGCTCTGGAGCCTGACAAGATCTCCAAGCTCTTTGGGCTCGACGATGATCGTTGAGGCCACCTCATGAACAAAGCCTCGGTTCGATGTGCAGTAGAAAATTTGATTGATTGAACAGAACTCTGCGTGTTGACTCCATTTGTGTTTCTTATTGGGGGTGTTAGTTCTTTTGCCATAAATGAATGAAGGATACAAACTTGGTACATATCATCAAAGAATAAAAAAAGGAAAACATGATTCATCACGCGTTCTACAACTAGTGTCGAGATAGGGGCTTCACATTAGGTTGAAAAAGACACCTAATGATATTCTCAACAGTCGATGACCTTCTATCAGTCTTCTCCCTTAATCTTCACATGTGGCTCTTACCTGGGTTACGATAAATGTTTATGGGTAATTGATCGTATGTAATTATGTAAACTCAAACCAACTTATGAAAATTTGGATTCTCAAGCTCGCTTACGGGTTAAGATCTACGTTTATGAGCTTATTATTAATTTTTTTTTACCGGAAGAGCTTATTATTAAGATGTTATCAGTTTTCTCTACTTTTGAGTCAACACAAATTAGTTTGTGTTAGATATTGCATTTTAATTATGAATTTCATGTAGATATTCACTTATATAAAATCTATACACTCACATTTTACATATTATATATTGTACTTAACATATTTTACTATTTTAGAGGGTGCGTCAAAAACTTATGTTTTTACGCTTTGATTCTACGTTTTACGATTTTACCCATTTCCCGCTTCTAGATAGAATCGCGCTTTTAACTGCATTGGCTAGCCGTACTGTGTTTTTCAGAATTCTACATTAGCACAAGAACAATGCAGATTCAAACCCAGCCTGCCGAGAATTGCGTCTTAGCAATGTCTCAGAGTATCGCTAGGCTACAAATCTATTTGATAGATCTAAGCATCATGAATGCAGGGAGCTACTCAATCGCTATGTGTCCTGCCTAGTGGGAGTTCAACACCATGACGAACAAAGTCACCAGATTGATCAAAAAGCTCGAATTCCGCCCTGCTCATCTCCGAGTAACCACCTGAAGATGATTTGCTCTTCTCCATCTTCATAGCCAAAACCCCCATGAGTAGATGTCAACTACAATAACTATCTCTGTCACTTAGATGAGATGCAGGTTTCAGAGGAGGAAACTGATCTTATATACAAATGACGAAGGGAGTGGAGTTGATGTTTCGAACCTGGATTGTGTTAAGACTTACCGATTTATTAATAAGGGTTTTCGGTTTTAACCGAAACCGAAGCCGTTAAGGACTTATCTAACAGGCTCTCCTTAGTTCTTTTATCCATAATCTAATAAAAATACCTGGACAGACAAATGTGGAAGCTAAAGCCAATTAGTTCTCCTGAATTTCAGCCCACTTTTCCAATAATGCGAGGGGCCAAAGCAGAGTGGAGGCAACTGCAGCCTGCTATTGCTGATATAGAGAAAGTGGGGTTGAGGTTTTATATCTGTCCCCTAAAGATTAGTTGACCTCTACATATTATAGAATATTTTCAAACATTGAAGATGTATTCCAGTGTGCTAATGCCACCCTCAATAAAGAATTATGTAGCCAGTTGGTGCATACGGACGTCAGCCAATATTGAAAATCAACCTACATGTCAGTGGCCCGCCTAATCAATTCCTTTATTTCTGCAGTCTGCAGAAATAAAAGAAAAAGAGTGCTGAGTATAGTAAAGTTGATGTATGGAACCTGGACCTGACTCGGTTCATGATGCTTGAATCCTGGAAAGAGGTGCAGATTAGCGCTGAAAGTAATCAGCACCATCTTCAACATCGTCAGTTTTGAATTTTGATGCTTCCATTTTCCTCCATCATTATTCTATAGACCCGCTTTGAGCATATTTGTTAGAAACAAAGTTTCTAACGATTTAGAGAATAGGGAATTTAGCTAGACCGATTAGGGATTGATCAAGCTAGGAATTGGAATTTGGGAATTTGGGAAGAAGAGAGGGGAAAAGGAGGCTGTTGCCGAGCAGCCAAGGGAGAGAGAGAGAGATAGATTATGTTTTAGGTTTTCTGTAATTGATTGCTTAATCTCAAATTACACCCTACTGCAGATTATATAATCCGCTAATTCTCTAACAGCTACCCACTTAATAAAATGTAACAACCGACTCCCCTGCTTATTGCTAAATACCCCAAATAATCCCCCAACTATCAAAGACCGACAATAATACGAAATAACAAAAGCTGCAAATTATTTGTTTCTAACATCCCCGCCCCCTTGGGAACAACCTTGTCCTCAAGGTTGCGGCTTCTCTTGCTCCACTCCGGCTTCCTCCGTCATTTTCTCTTCTGCCTCGTCTTCCCATCGTCCCACCAAGAACATCAAATCAGGCTTCCCGCATTTGTGGCCAAAGGTGAACCTCACAATTGAAACACTTCCCTTCTCGCCTCTTCTGCTCGATCTTAGCCGGAGATAGCGTCCTAAATCCTTTGGGTGGTGGCCTTGGTCCCGCGCGAATGGCAGCCGAGGGTGGCCCAGCCGCCGCACCTCCTCCCGAGCTCGGACCCGGTGCTGACGCCCCCGCCTGGCCGATCGGCCCACTCCCACTGCTTCCTCCGCTCGGCTTCTGATAGCGGCCTATCGCTCCCCGCCAGCTAGCCAAGTCCTCCTCTTTGTTACCTGCATGACGGAAAACAGCTCGAAGTGAATCGGGCTCAAATATCCGAACCGCCGCTGCAATCTTTGGGCGGAGTCCCGCCATGCACAGACCCACCAATGTCTCCTCCGGAACGCCCTTACACTGGTTACCCAGTTTGAAGAACTCAGCTCTATACTCTGCCACCGTCCTCGTCCGGCGCAGCTTAGCCAACTGCTCGGGAGCCCACCCTTCTGACTTGCCGAACTGATACCTCAACTCCTCCTTGAACATCGGCCAAGTGATTAGCGTATGAGCTTCAGCATAGGTCCGCTCCATCCATTCCCACCACTGCAATGCATCCCCTTCTAAATAGAAGGACGCCAACTGAGCCTTCCGCTCTTCCCTAGTGGGATGGTTCTTGAACCACCGCTCCGCGGAGTATATCCACAGACCTGCATCCTCCCTGCCATTGAACTTTGGGAATTCAATGGTAGGAGGTTTAGCTCGAAACACCATGTCATCTTCAGCCTCACCACCCCGGGAATAACCGGCGTGCCTCCCATACCCCTGGGGCCCACTGTGATAATGCTGCGAAAATCGAGGTTCCCCTTCATATTCCCACTCATCCTCTTCCTCCTCCTGATATCTCCTTCTTCGGCCCATCTCATTTCGCTGCCTCTGATCACCTGTTTCCGCCCTCATGAATTCCTTACCGGTGCCTTGCTGATTCACAAAAGGAGGTTGAGTGCCACTGTACTCATCAAACTGGCCTTGGGGAGCCGGAAATCCCCTGCTGCCCGTCCCCCCTGCACGCACTAGCTGCTGCCCCGGTTTGGCCCTGGTCCGACTGGGTTCGGTTCGACCGATTTCGGTTCGACCGGGTCCAGTCCGACCGGCCTCGACCGGGTTCGATCCGACTACTCGGGGCCTGACTCGGCCCAGCTCGGCCCACATACTCGCCCCGGCCCGCTGGACCCCGGCCCACGGGGCTCGGCCGCCCCATCTCCCAGCCGCGGCCCATCTCTCGCCGCCCACCACCTGGCCCGCCTTCCAGCCCAACTCGGCCCATCTCGCTTCCTTCATCCCTGCTGTAATCCGCCCCTGGCCCATACAACTCGTTAGGCCAGGGCCCGTGATCATACTCCTGCTCCAAACCATCAACTGTTCCTCGTCCAGGCCCGCTTGCAGATCTAGTTCCACGTACTCGGCCATCTTGGCCTTACCCCGCGCGCGCGCCTTTTCCTGGGCCGATGGGGTCGGTAATAGCCCATCTTTGACCGATGGGCCGAAAGAGACTTGGCCCGCACGCGACCCGGTTGGCCGGCTAGGGTTGACCGCCGCCCCTCCCTTCTCGCCCGAGCCGCCCGCCACGTATCCCCCGGAAGCCGCGCGGCACCCTGGCCGCCGAGCTCCCCCACCGATGCGGAGCCTTCCCCCGGCGCTCCTTCCTCCTCCTGCGGCTGGTCGCCACCGCCAACTCTGGCCCCGCCTTTCTTCCAGGCCTCCGTCAGGCCGCTCACCTGCCCCACCAACGCCTCCACCGCCGCCGTCAAGGCCTCGATGGTGCGGTTGTGATCCCTAGCCCTCACCTGCAGCTCCTTCAACTCCTCCTCCACCCGTGCCTGCCTCCTCGCCTGCGCCTCCATGTCTCTCCTTAGTTCCTCGACCCCTGTCAGATCCTCCACTGCCCCGTCGTCACCTGCATCGGCGCCCCTCTCACCAGCCTGGGCCGCCCTCTCCGCCTTCTCTGCTGCCTTCATTGATTTCGTCGTTACCATCGTTGCCTTCCCTGGTTCAAGAGCTCACCAGAACTCACTCTCGAGCCAGGCTCTGATACCAGATGTTAGAAACAAAGTTTCTAACGATTTAGAGAATAAGGAATTTAGCTAGACCGATTAGGGATTGATCAAGCTAGGGATTGGAATTTGGGAATTTGGGAAGAAGAGAGGGGAAAAGGAGGCTGTTGCCGAGCAGCCAAGGGAGAGAGAGAGAGAGAGAGAGAGAGAGAGAGATTAGGTTTTAGGTTTTCTGTAATTGATTGCTTAATCTCAAATTACACCCTACTGCAGATTATATAATCCGCTAATTCTCTAACAGCTACCCACTTAATAAAATGTAACAACCGACTCCCCTGCTTATTGCTAAATACCCCAAATAATCCCCCAACTATCAAAGACCGACAATAATACGAAATAACAAAAGCTGCAAATTATTTGTTTCTAACAATATTTCGCCCACTCTTCTGTCAGCTCCCAACATCCCTTCTGCTGTGAGGTTCACAAGCAGGAACTCCTGTTCATGAACCTGTCATCGAATTATCATACAACGGAATCTGAAATCAAAGCGATGACATGAACCTTTTATTAATATAAGTGTCAGGTTAGTAAACTGTGTAAGATGGATACTGACTTCGAACTTTGCAGACATGATTAATAAGTGATTCACTGGTTAAAAAGATTGCTGAATTCCACAGCTTCATAGATTAATAGCATATATTGCACATCATGTGAAAGCTACGACAGAGTATAGATCACCAGATTACAAATCTAGCAACTTTAAGAAAGTTGCAATTAACAAGAGGACCAAGTGCTACCACCAATGGATCCACGAAATCCTAATTAGTCTTACAGAATTAACAAGCTAATACCTGCACAAGATATTCTGACACACTCATTGACCACATAATTGATCTTTCAATTCGCTGAGATGTTATATGGTAGGTAGCCCTTTCTCAGCAAACCTGGACAGAAGATGCCCTGAAAGAAACCATAATGAACCTCAAGGTCAATATAATGTCACACGGAAAGGTGATTTGAGTAATCTAACCTCCAACTGAAGCCTCCTCCGATACTTTGGCATCCAACTGAGCAACAATTGCTATTAGGGCCAACTTCCCTTTCTCCCATTTCCGTTTCTCTCTCTCGAACTTTTTCAACTCAGCTGTTTCAGCTCTCAGATCTGCCTTTTGCAGCTTCTCTTCCTGAAAAACGGATTCAGGCCATCTTTACAAATGTCCACAAGAATTTTACAGATTCACGACAACAAGTAATCAGGGCAAGAAAAAACTTGCTTCTCTTTTTCGTTTCTTTTCTTCAATCGAGAGGGCCCTATCTTTTGCTGTCCTCTTCTTCCGAATTGCTTCATCTGTATTACTATTTTTTCTCTACTCACTTGCTCTTGGATCTCCTTTTCTGTTTTACAATACCATCCATATGCTCAGATTTTCTTTGTCAGGGTTGTTGTCATGATTAAGAAGCATTATCACAGATGAAAAGAGACAAAATATCGGCCAAACAATTCAACCAGCAGCAATCCTATAAGTTCTTCCGAGAAGGGTATAACTTGAAAGATAACCTAAACCATCATTTTAGATTTAAATTCATTTCTCTAATCTTGTTCTAGACAATTATAGAGATGACCTAATGTCCTAGTCATTTCCTTGGAAAATTAGACTCCAACTCAACTGTCCTAGAGAAACAAGCTTGCATTGAATCCCATTTCTTTCTCAGCTTCCGATGCTACTGATATATCTTAACTCACAAGACAAAAGATTCTGTTGACATTTTAAGGTTATGATTCTGACAATTGTAGCCATCCACATATAACATCCTAAATGCGCTAAAACACTTCCTCTGAATGAACTAACAGCCCTTCTGGAACCAGCAAAAAATATTGAAATGAAACTCCATTCCCGAGTCCATTTCTCGCTATGTTGTTGGGAAAGGATGATAACTGGGAAATGGTATCCCTATTGGCATAAAACTGCATGGAACTGGTTGCAAGCAGACTGTAAAGTTTCTACTCATATGCATAGCAACTAAAAACGTACAATTCAATATCACAGAGTACAATCTACAACTTCCAGGGTACAGTGGCAAGTTGAATCAGATGAAAACCAAAACCTACCAAGAGAATAAACAGATGCAGAGAACCTAGCCCTCCATACGGCCTCATCGTCATCGTCAATTTGCACAGTCTCACTCTCCCACCAATTTCCAATTCCAGAGCAACCTACCGACTCGAAACGTTTTGGCTCCAAGCGCGTCACTCCGCCATTTCCTTTCAATACACAAACACAGGACGAAACTGGCACCTCTTCAATCGGGAAAAAGAGCCACCAAAACAATTGAAACTCCTCTTGACTAAGTGAAGACGGAGACGTACCACAAGTCTTACTGCCGAAATCAGGAACCCTAATTTCGGGAGCCGAAAGGCCCACCGTGCATCTGCCAGCGGCGGCCACATCAGACATCGGAGTTTCTGGGACAACAGTGGCAGCATATGAGGAACTCGGCGTCGGCTTTAACGGAGAAGGATCATCGTCCATGAGGAAGATGGTAGGAGCTGGGTCGAGCCCGAGCTCCGCTCGAGTGGCGCGGAGCCTCTTGGGGCGGGATGAAATTGGAGTACTCGGATAGTCGGCGTCTTCGTCGGAGAGAACGATTAGATTCTCGGCCATTGATTGAAGCCGGAGGGAATGCTGAAACAATTCGGCGGAACCGCCGGAGAGCGAGCTAGAGAGAGAGTGAGCCTGAGGTTTTAGGGTCTGGATTGATAAACGGACTTTGATTCGAATAAGCGCGGGATTGTGGAAGAAGATCTTACTAGCGCGAGCGAAAAGCAAAATATTTCGTATCATCCCTGAGTTTCTTTGCTTATTTCACTTTAGTCATTAAACAATTTTCAATCCCAATGCCCAAAAAAAAAAAATTTAGTTTTCCTGTTATTGTTATTTGTTAGTGACACTAATTTAGAACTAGTGAATTAACAAATAATTCATTATCCGGCATGTACACTTTTGTGCCAGATAGGGATGGCAATGGGTAGGGTCGGGTGCGGGTTTACACTTATACCAACTTCTAACCCGCCAGGTAGAGCCTTCTAAAATACTCGATCAAATAACCACCGGGTATGAAAATTATATAACCATACCCTACCCACTGGGTAACCACGGGCATTCGGGTAACCATGGGTACGAATCCTAAACTATGAACGTATACACATATATGCACGTACATACGGTTGAGTGTTGTCCATTAAAAATTTTCAATACTTGTAACTGTTCTAGTTTCAACAATCCACACAAATAAAAATAGCAAACACATAATAATTTTTCTTGCTTCTACAATCCAAACAAACATAATAATCGCCTACATCTTCATCATCAATAATGGTAGCTAAACTCAATTTCTCAAGCTAATCTAAATTTCCCAAGGGAAATTGACCCTTTGGTTAGCGGAGCGGGTATAACGGGGCGGGTATTATCGATTACCATACCCGTACCCTACCCTTTATTTTGAAACCGGGTATTACCCGTACCCGCCCCTTAACCCGTCAAAGCAGGTAATTACCCTCGTTGACCGGTTACGGTCGGGTAGGGTACCCATGGTTACGGGTTGGATTGACATCTCTAGTGCCAGAACGTTGCTCAAGTTTTAGGATGCTAATTAGGTATTTTACTCGATACGTTTATTCAATTCGAACGCGCTTCATCCAAAGTAACCGATGACTTGAAATAATAACTTGGTAACATTGACCGGTGGTTTAGTAATGCACTCAAAATAACCTAATTCACATTAACTAGTTTGATTTAATTGGGTAGGTAAAACAAGGGAGGAAATAGGGTGCTAACTACATAGGGGTTAGCACCATACTAACTATTATAATCACCATCTATTATTTTAAATCTAATTTGACGGTAGAAAATTGCAAGGGGTCTGTTAGGTATTTTGAAAATTATAATTATTAAATAAATTAAAATCTCTATATTCTCTCTCTATTAGAAACCTCCAGCGAGAGAATAGTACTGATCCACATTATGTATAACCGTTACTGTTTGAATTAGTATTGATTTGATAGTTTATTGTAGTAATTTTATGATTTTGTGTAGTGATTTTATGTCATTGGTAGTGATTTAGTCTACTCTAAAGTAGTAGTGATTTAAGATTCTTTTAGGGAGTTGCTAAAGGTCGCCCTTAAAATTGCTAAAGGTCGCCCTAAAAAGAATCAAAGTTACACTTTTACCCCCTTAGCTTCTTTACCTTCCCTTTATCAAACAAACACCACTTGAACTAAAAAAACACTATCTAAGGAGAGAAAAATCCATCATCGTCATTTTGAAGCCGATATCGTCGGAGTAGCGACTCCGACGAGGTAAATATATTAACTGAAAAACGAAAAAAAAAAAAGAACCGCAAATCACCTGCGGTTGGACCATGGCTGGACCGCAAATGAACTGCGGTTGGACCATGGATGGACCGCAAATCACCTGCGGTTGGACCATGGCTGGACCGCAAATCACCTGCGGTCCAGCCATGGTCCAACCGCAGGTCATTTGCGGTCCAGCCATGGTCCAACCGCAGGTGATTTGCGGTCCAGCCATGGTCCAACCGCAGGTTGACCGCGGTCAGCCGTTGGTTCAACCGCGCGTTGACCGCGGTTGACCGTCGGTCTAACCGCGGTTTGACCGCGGTCGGCACGGTTTTTTTTTTTTTTTTTTTTTACCTTCTTCTTCTCCGACGAAGCCTTCTTCTCCGGCGAAGGCTGCTGCGCGGGTGGGATCGCGGGAGTTCGGCGCGATGGAGCGAGGTCGTCATCAATGATGTCCCTAAGTGCACAGAATTTGGTTTCCACAACTTTTGTGCCTCATCATCGCTGGATAATATGGCGGATCTAGGTTACCCTTGAACAGATCCAGAATCGGACCCTTCCTCCTCGTCGTTGGTGGTGATGGTGAAACAAAGGTCCGCTTCCAATCTAGTAAATTAACCGGCGACCCACATCTCACAAGCCATCACCACCGCTTGCCGCTTCCGTCGTCATCATAGGCAACTCTTATTCTCTCGTCGCAGCCTCCCTCCTCCATCGCCATTGACCCTCTCTATCACTTTAGGGCGCTCGTGAGAAGAGGGAGGGAAGAAAGACAAAGAACATGCCGCCTACCTCCTCCGTCACCATGTTGCCAATCGGGGAAGAAAGAGAGAACACGGTGGAGAGAGTTTGTGAAAGATGAGTGGGCAGGTGGGCGGATCCAAAGGAGAAGCGGCCAATATTGTATATGTATTAGGGTTTGTAGTTAGTGGTGTTCATTTGACCAAATTAACCTTTATCAAATTTTAATCGTACGATTAACTTTACATCTAATGGCTGAAGACTATGTTAGCACGGTGTTAGCACTTAATCTCAGGAGATACGGTGCTAACTTCATAACGGTTAGCACCATGCTAATTACTAGCATAATCACCATCCATTATTTTTAATTCAATCTGACGGTAGAAAATAGCAAGGGGCTTGTTTGGTATTTAGAAAAATTAAAAATATTAAATTAATCAAAATCATTTTTTTCACTCTCCTATTAGGAATTTTCTACGAGAGAAAATTACTACTTCACATTATATACAACAATTATTATAAAAGTAGTATTGATTTTTTTGGTTTATTGTAGTAATTTCATGATCTTTGGTAACGATTTTATTCTCAATAGTAACATTTTAACTATTTTAAATTAGTAATGATTTATGATTTTTATTAAAAATCACTACAGATAAATAATAAAAATATTACCACAAACGAAAAAACTACTATAACTACACAAAAAACACTACTATTTAACAAAAAACACTGCTTGTATAATAAGCATGACTAATTTTATAACTACAAGAGAATGTCTACAAATACAAAATACTACTACTAAAAGTCTAAAACACTACTAATCAATTCAAAATTTCCTCGTGCAATCATAAAGATTGCAAACCCTCTCGAAATGCTGCAATTAGAAGTTGTAACTTCTCTCTCCCTTCCGCTGGTTTCCATGTTGTAGTCCGTCATCAATTGTGTCACAGAGTGCACAGATCTGGCTTCCGTCGCTGGAGAATACGGTTGATCTAGGTAACCCTCGAACATATCCGGACCCAGATCTTGCTGCTCGTCATTGACGGTGATTATGAGACAAATGTCGGCTTCCAATCCGGTGAATCTGACGGCAACCCTCATCTCACAAGACGTCGTCGCGGCTTGCCTCCTCCATTTCCATCAACGCCCTTCTCTTGTCATCGCCTGCCTCCTCCATCTCCATCGATGACCTCCTCTGTTCTTTAAGGCGTTTGTGATCGCGCCGCTGATTGGGGAAAAGAGAGAATGTGATGGGAAGGGTTTATGAAAGAGTATAGAGGAGGTGGACGGTTTCAGAGAGATGAGAGGCAACCATAATATGCCCTATATATTAGGGTTTGTGGTGACAAGTCTCAATTTTGACCAAATTAACCTTTATGAATGTGTAACCGTAGGATTAAATTTAAATTTGATGGCTGAAATTTTCATTAGTACGGTACTAACCCCTTAAGGGGTTGGCACTTAATCTCATTCCGTAAAACAACTTGCTCATGTCCTACACAATTACATGTTGATGGTCATAAAAACAATAATTATCTAAAAACATCCGTCTCTTAGCTTACTTCAATATTAGGTGACTTATTTTAAAGTCTGTCTGATATCAAAATCTTTCCTTTTGTAATCAAAAGTTGTTATTTTTTTAGTCTCCCTGTGACTCTATTTTCGAACTGTGCAAATTTCAATCTCATATGAGTGATTTGAGTTTGATGAGACGTAAATTAGTATGTGGTATGTAATTCATTATTGTATCTATCCCGCAACAACTTAAATTATTGGTACCAACTAGTTCTTGAGACGGTGATTTACCACCAGCTGTAGTATAGTGACTCGCTAATCGCTACCCAACATGCATAATTAGACTTGCATGTTTAAACAATAACCCGTTCTAGGTTGAGTCGACTGGAGGAAGAGGTCGAGGCGAGCAGAGGGAATGCAGCGGAGCTGGCGTGCCAGCTGGAGGCAGTGAAGGAAGAGAAGGAAGTGTTTGGAATGTGAGATGAAGAGGATGAGAGTTCAGACGGAGCAGTGGAGGAAAGCGGCCGATGCAGGGCTCGCTGGCGGGAAAGGGAGGTTTGTTTCTGATCAGAGGTGTGCTTCCATGGATGAAGGGTATGGAAGTGGCGGGAAGCAGAGGAAGGTGTTGATGTGACTTGAATCGGACTATCAGCCGCTACGACTGGTAATCGAGGGTCCACGGTGTATGGGCTCAATGTTATTTGGGTTCGGGTTCTGGGCCTGGTCTGTAACCGTTTCCTTTGTCATATTGGATTAGGTTTAGACCCACATGGAGAAGTACTATAAATACTTCTCATACTCCTCTGTAATCTGTAATCTCCTCGATATAGTGAAACTGGCTCTCTCTCGCCCGTGGACTAGCTAACACACATCGTGTTAGTGAACCACGTAAATCGTGTGTCTGTGTTCTTTCGATTCTCGCTTTCGTATTCTTGCTTTGTCGATTCCGGCGATTTCCCGATCCGTAGCAGCGCGTTTATAACAAGTGGTATCAGAGCCGCGGCTGGAAATCAGGCTAGGGTTTTCGATTCGGAAGAATGACGTCGGTGAACATGAAGATCGAAAAGTTCACGGGGAAGAACAGCTTCGCTATATGGCAGATCAAGATGCAAGCTTTATTAAAACAGCAAGGGCTGTGGGGGCCGCTGT